ATATCGATATAAATACATCAAGATAAAGAAACCCCAAGGTACAGCTGGCTCGGTGGCAGTCATAACCTTAAAAACCGTTCTCCCTACATTCATTATCCTGAGCACTCAGCACCAGCGTTTCGCAGAGGGATGTACAGAGCCAGATCCCTCCAGGTTCGGAGCGCATTCAAAGCAACAAACGTGCTGCTGCTCGGGCACTCTGGCTCTAGCCTTTTTTTGGGGAAAAAGAGGAGCAGATCGGCTCACCAGCTTTGTCAGCAGCAAGCTGGGGAGGGCGCTGAGCTTTTGCTTGGCCCACATCCCCCTGTCACCGGGCACCCCTCGGGGAGGATGGGACTTGCAAAGATTTTCAGAGAAGAGGAGCCCAAATGAAACCCCGCAAAATCAGGGCACAGGAAAGGTGACTCTGTGTTTTTTTTTTTTCCTGCACAAATGCACTGATTTCTCTGTGTTGGTCAGAGCGACACAAAGCTCCGGAGGAGGAAGGAAGCAGCCCTGGAACACGGCAGCAGCGTTCACACAACCAGAGCAGGGCATGGCTGGAGGGAGAAGCGAGGACGTGGAGCCCAACCGCAGCGTGCAGCCTCTTCCTCCTCGCGAGGCTGAGGCTTCTCAGCTCAGCACCCTTAAGCCGAGATTTGCCGTGGTTTACCAGAAGCAGCTCTGACATCCACTAAACCCAGCAGGAGTCTCCGCGAGGGACGGTCCCACTTGGGGTTAGCACCTAGATTAAGGGCTCAGCTCCTTCTCACGCCGGCCTTCAAAGCTCTGCTGCAGATACAGAGCTCGGGCTGCAGCCCCACAGCCCCTTTCCTTCACCCCAAGCACGGATTTCACCTATGGAGCCAAGGCTGCTCTCTGCCCTCCTGTCCCAGATGATGGGATGAGCATAAGTGCTTTTTATCTTCCAAGCACGCCTCGTGTTTCGGCAGCTTTATAAATGCTGCTTGGTTCAGCCTCAGCAGCTTTCCTTCTCATCAGGGAAATCGGGGTGGCCAAGAACTGGCTCTTCCCAGAGGGGAAAATATATTTTTTTTTGAGTTTTGTACCCAGTTCCTCGCAAACCCCAGCCTAGATCCAAACTGCTCGGATTATGAGAGCTCGGTCTGCGTCCAGGAGCGCGGCAGCCTGCCTCTGAATGGGGACTTTGTGCTCCCCCAGCTGCTGGCACGCACACCCCGACAGCGGCAGGGCACTGGTGCCACGAGCTCTGCCTCGTCCCAGCCCTCTGCAGGGCTCTGCCAAACCCACTCCTGTCCTGGGAGCAGCTACAGGCACCCAAACCTGCACGGGGCTTTGCCTCGGGAGGCGAGGGGACTGAACAGAAACGAAAACCACCTCTGCTCCTCTGCAGAGAGGAGACTCGCTGAGCCTGAAATGTGCACACGCAGGCGTGAGCCCAAGCAAAGGCAGGAGAGGGAGGAGCAGCTCACCGATCCGCTTTTCCAGGTCCGCAGCCTCACTGGGGGTGGCTCTGGGCAGGATACCTGGGTCCCTGAAGCTCGTCTGGAGCAGGCAGCTGATGACAAAGAAGAAGAGGACGGCCGCGATGATGGGGATGGCCAGGGTCAGGTGGCTGGCAAGGAAGGGACAGCTGCGAAAAAAGAAAAAAGCAGCGTTAAAAACCATCCCCACGGAACTGGCCATCAGCTATCACACTAGGAATTATCACGGGGGGGTGGACTGAAGAGCTGCTGCTTTGTAGGGACCTCTGGAAAGGCAAGAGCCAGCCCAGAGAGCACCCTGCAGCTCTGGAGCTGCGCTGGGAGGATGGGGCCTTGGACACAAAGCACGGGCTCCTCTACGCAACCTCTGCGCCCTTCTGAAGTTCCAGAATCACATCGCAAAACCCAACGCCCGGTCACCTTCTACATGGCAACAGCAGCAACAACAACACGCGGAGAAACACCCGAAATTAATCAGGGATCAAAATCAGCATGGACACAGCCTCGTTTCATCCGAAGCCGAGGGACCTTGGCTTCGATTCAGCACGGCTTTGCTGCCTCCAGATGATTCCTGTGCCCCCTGTGCCGTGCCAGATGTCTGACCCAGACACATCAGCGCTGCCGGCACCGACACCAGCACCCGGGGACCAGCGTTATCCAAAGCCAGGCAGCTCCATCACCCCCAGCATGAAAACAAGGACCCGAGGGACGTGGCTCCTTATGTAACATGGGGCTGGAGCCCCCCTCCTGCTCTGCAAAGGGATTTGCTATTCCGAGCACTGGGAAGCACCGGGACCGGGCACAGCCCAGCAAGCTGCCTGAGCCTCGATGCCCGCGGCAGCGCTAAGTCCCGGTGACACAGCGAGGCAGCGAAGGGATTAAGTAACTTTTGTCTCAGCTCAGCTGTCCAGGACAAAAGCAGCCACCAAGCTGCAAAATCCCCTCGGCCTGAGAGCAGAGCTGCTGTCGAGCCCCTCGGTCCTCTCCCTGGTGCAGGGACAGAAAGGGCTCCGAAAGGAGAGAGACGAGTGTCCTCAACACCCATTTTTGGGTTGATCTCTGGAGCCCTCTTCCCCCCTTCAGGCAGCAAGAAATTACGTAAAAAATGTCAGTTATAGACACGGTGACTTTTTTTTATACACCTAGCAAAGCGTAAGTGATGCAACAGAAGCGCAGAAACAAGGTGGAAAGCCCCGGGACATCTTTAACCAAGAACCAGTGACCAGGCAAGACGGGAGGGAGCAGATGTCCTCTGCTTGGCCCCGCACAAAGCAGTTTCTGTGCTGGTGCTGCCCAAAGCTGTCGGAGAGGCATGGACAGCACCAAGAGAGGAGCATTCGTGCGGGGATCCGTCGCTGCCTGGAGCCTGGCTGGCTTCTCAGGACCTCTCATCCGACTGAATACCTTCATCTGCCCGGCTGCAGCTTTGCTCTGAGGCTCGGAGGGAGAACCCTGGGATCTCAACGCAGGCGAGAGCTCCTGGGTGCTCCTTCCCTGGCTCTTCCCGGGGTGCTCCCGGCTCTCCCTGCCCATAGGGCGCAGGAACCCGGAGCCTCAGGGCTGCAGTCCCAAAGGACAGCGGGGGCGGCTTCCCAAAAGGAGAGGGGAGCAGCTCCCTCTCCCCCAGACGAAGCGAGGACGGACCCTTGGGGTGAGACCCCCGGCACACCGCTCCTGCTGCCCCTCTGTACCACGTCCACCCTACAAACTCCTGGCAGTGACTCCGGATGGATTTCTGCCCTCCGTAGGCTTGGAGAATGGGGGGTGGCTGATAACCAGGAGGGCACCCCCCTCATCTAAGTGGATTCCCCTCTTTGGGGTGCAGCTCCTAAACCAGCCCACAAGGTGTGGGGCTGCCCCTGCCCACCCCTCCCGAGCACGGGGGGTCTTTGGGGACCGGGGGTGACCCCGAGCACCTGGGGATAGGAGGTGGGGATCCAGACTTAGAGTGGGGCTGGGGGCTCAGCAGCAAATGGGATGGCTCTGGGTGAGGCAGCGGGGGGTGCCTGGAGGGACAGGGACAAGGTGGAGAGGGGGACAAGGGGGGGCAGGGAGATAGGGAAATGGGGGGACAGGGGGACAAGGGCGATGGGGAAATAGGGAAAAGGGAGGACAGGGGGACAAGGAGGTACAGGGAAACAGGTGGACAGAGGGATAAGGGGAATGGGGGCTAGGGGAGTTAGGGGGACAATGGGGATAGGGGAAGGGGAATACAGGGCGATACCGGGGATGTGGAAATGGGGGGACAGGAGGACAAGGGGGACAGGGAACGGGGGTGATGGAGGGCAAGGGGGACAGGGGGACAAGGGATGGGGGGGGACAACGAAACGGGGGGAGGGACAGGAGGGAGGGGGTCGGGGCCACACCGCAGGGCACGGAGCCGCCCCCACCCCCATCCCACAGCCCCTGGGGGCCGGGACGCGTCCGGGACTCACTCGAAGGCGAAGAAGAGGCCGCTGGTGGCCAGGATGAGGCCGAGCGTGAGGACGAAGACCCCGCTGTGCCGGGCCAGCATCAGGCGCCCGCCGCAATAGAAGCGGTTGCGGCCGGGGAACACCTCCCATTTCCGCAGCGGCCGCCGGGCCGGGCCGGGCCCTTCGGAGGAGGCTGAGGAAGAAGCGGCGGCGGCAGCGGCGGTGCTGGAGGAGGAGGAGGTGGAAGCCGGAGGGGGAGGCTCGGGGCCGGGCCCGGGCCCGGGGGCGGCGGGGGGGATGTGGCGGTATCCGCGCTCCTGCATGGCGCCGCCCGCAGCGCCCGGCGCGCCACCGAGCTCGGCCCCGCGCGCGCGCCTCACCCCCCCCCCCCCCCCGCCGCTTGGCCACGCCCCGCGGACGTGTCGGCCACGCCCACCCCACAATGAAGCCACGCCCATTTGGATGGAAACCACGCCCACTTCGGGTGGTTGGCCACGCCCATCCGCGGAGCAGAGCGGCGCCCCCTGGTGGCCGAACCGCGATAAAGCAGGGAAATAGGGGGGGAAACCCGGAGCCCCCCCCGGGTTCCCCAAATCACAAAACCCAAGAGGTGGAAGGGTGGAGGAGGCAGCCCCCAGATCCCTCACATTCTAGAATCCCACAAGCATTAGGGCTCTAAAAGGCCTCCAACATCACCCGGTCCAACTGCCCCCCCACCACCACCACCCCCTGCCCCTGTCCCCCAGCACCACGTCCAACCTCTCCCTCAACACCCCCAGGGACGGGGACTCCCCCACCTCCCTGGGCAACCCGTCCCAACGCCTGAGCGCTCTTGCTGAGGAGAAATGTCTCCTCATTGCCAGCCTGAACCTCCCCTGGCACAACTCGAGGCCGTTCCCTCTGCTCCTGGCACAGTTCCCTGTGAGCAGAGGCCGACCCCAGCTCCCCACCCCTTCCTTCCAGGCAGTTGCAGAGAGCAATGAGCTCTGCCCTGAGCCCCCCTTCCCCAGCCCAACACCCCCAATCCCTCAGTCAACCCCCAGGATCTCAGTTTGCACAGCCCCACATCAGGCACAGCTCTGTCACACAGCAGGAACAGAGCAGCAGCACCCTTGTCCCAGCCAAGAGCACCACCACACTGTAGGATTTTTTTTGTTTTTTATAGAAAAATCAGTTCCTGTGCTGACCATCCCCTCCGCAGGCTCGGAGCCACAGTCACTGCCTACGTCCAAGGCAAGAAGTTGCAGTGCAGAGCCAGCCCCAGCAGCCAATAGGCCAGGAAATAGCCCAGGACGCATTTGCTGCGGGGGGTAAGGAGGGGGAAGCTCCGCAGCAGCCTGAGCAGGGGGTTTGCTGCAGCCCCCGGCCCGCAGGAGCCGGGCGACGCACCCAGCGCTGACCCCTTGGGGGGAGACACCACGGTTTGCCCGGCAGCGCCTTCAGTCCAGAGCCAGAGCTCGTGTTCTTGCAGCAGGTGGGCTGAGAACCAGTAGAGGATGGGACTGGAGGAGGCGAGGAACCTGGTCAGCACCTGGAAGAGAAAGAGAATCCCATAAGCTGTGGGGCTGGCTCCGAGGAACCCCGACTGCGAGTGATGGAAGGTGCAATCCATCTGCCTCCAACAGGCTGCTGATAAAGGGGAAGAAATACAGCCCCGGGCTGCAGCACTGCAATTTATTGCACTCGCAACAGAACAACTCGGCTCCAGGCTGCGTTATTTATTAAGATGTTCTTGTGAGCAGCCAAGTGGTTGCCGGGTTTTGGACAAACACGGGGACTGCCACCGAAATCCTTGTCACAGCCGTGTCCGGGAACTGTGACAGCAGCTGCAGAGGAGATCCAAGTCTCACTCCTCAATTAATTTCCCTGTGAAAACCCCGCATTGAGTGCCGCCAAAAAGACCTTGAAGCACTTCTGAAGGACTGGCCCAGGCTCTGGATCCTCTTGCTGCCACCCACTGGACTCAGCCCAGCAGGACGGTGACCCAGCTCCTTGGTGAGGAGCACATCAGATGCCACCCAGCAGCTGCCAGTCCCTCCGCTCAGTCCCAGTATCCTCACACCCAGCACCTGGAAACCCTTTGGGAACTCCCCAGCAGATGCCGGATGGTTTTGGAAGCCAACTGTGGAAGCGGCTCCAAAACAGGAGAGGAGAAGCCTTTGGTTTGCAGCTGCAACAGCACCAGAGGCTGGGACTGTCACCAAATGCCCTCGGCCACCGCCCCACGCTCCAAGAAATCACTCGTGTCACTACGAAGGTCCTACCTGCACGTGCATGCAGAAGAATCCAAAGAGCAGCAGGGCCGTGGCGTGGACCACGTAGACAAAGACAGCAGGGGAGCAAAATCCAGCCCTTGGTTTGCCCTCTTGTTCAGCCTTTCTTCTCTCTAGACCAAGAGTCAGGCAGTGCCGAGGGTTTGCCACGACGTAGGTCCCGGCAGCCCAGCAGCCCAGCAAGGTGACAGGCAAAGCAAGCAAGAAATTGGGTACCTGTCTGAGCTCAAAGTACCTTAGAAAGCCCACGTTCCAGTAAACATCTTGAATATAGGAATAGACCACGGGGAACCGCTGGGAGCACCACGTGGGTTTAACCCCGCTCGTGGCTGCCAGGCGATAACCTTTGTCCAGAGCCAGCTGCCGCAGCGGCTTGGGGACATCCAGCTCCGGGCCGGGGCCACAAAACCTCACGTAGGCGTAATACTGGAATACAACAAAGGGCAGGCAAATCCCAGCACACGTCACAACCGCTGAAGACGCCACGCTGAGGAGCTGCCTCCATAAAGGAAAGAGCTTCCTTCCCGGCCCTGAGCCCACCTGGAAGTGGAAAGCGAGGCGTTTAGTGCAGGAGTAGAGGAGGAAGCCGGCGTTGACCAGCCCGTTGGCGCGCACGCCAGAAGCGAGGGCGAAGAGCAGCGCGCTGAGCCAGCTCTGCCCCTTCTCCAGCCGCCACATGGCGCCGAACGCCAGGCAGGCAAACATGCTCTCCGAGTACGCAGCTGCCATGAAGACGTTGGCGGGGCTGATACAGAAGAGGAGGGCGGCGAGGAAGGCTGCCCTGCGGCACCGCAGCACCTCGCAGCCCAGCTCGTACAGGGCAGCGGCCGCCAGCACGGAGAAAAACGCGCTGAGAAGGGCGGCTGAGAGCAGCAGGCGGCTCCGCAAGCGCAGCAGCGGCTGCAGGGGCCACAGAGCCCCCTCGGCCACGGCACGCAGGCTGAGGGGGTAGAGAGGGAAGAAGGCGCAGTTGTGCTCGTACAGGTAGCCCCGCTCGGCGATGAAGAGGAAGTGCTCGGCGTCCCAGCGTGCCAGGCCTCCCAGCAGCCACTCCGCCAGCACGTCCCACGCGCCGGGCTCGGGCAGTCGAGGTGGGGAGAAGGCATCCGCAGCGTGGTCCGGGATCAGGAGGTTGAACACGGCCTGGAAGGAGGAGAAGAGAGGGCTGGAGGCAGGCAGAGAGCCTCGTGGATCCTGCTGGAAGCACCGAGCTGGAGGAGGAATTTGGAGGTTCAAGGAGATGAGCAGCACAGAAGACAGGCTAACGGGCTTTCCAGCAGGGGTGCCTGTAAAGACTGCGAAAAAATGCAGACTGTTTTGGGGCATTTACAGCTGAATTGAGTAAAACTGAAAGCTGAAAACATCCAGGAATCCCCATGGAATTGGATAGGGAAAGGCTGCTCAGCCCCGTCCTTGGGCATATCTGTTAGAGCACCGGCAAGCCTATTTTGCTTCTGAATTTGGTGTTTTTGTCCTAGCTGATGTGCAAGGAAGAGGAGACAGAACTAAAGAAAAGATTTTCCCAGAGGAAACTGACGCGGAAGACAAATGAAAACACGTTTCTGAAAAGAACAACCCTCCCAGATGCAAGTTTTGCAGTTTACTATGTGCAGACTGGGATGAGTCCTTGGCAAAGGATTCAGCGTTGGCAGAGAAAAGGCCACACTAAACAAATCGGGACTAACAGACCTACAAAGGCGATGTTTTTACAATGGAGCACACAGCTGGACCAAGCAGGCCTCTGAAATGTGCAGTACAGAGTCTGTCATCGCTGCCGACACAGCGGTGACCGGGCTTCCACCATCTGCTGGCCACTGGCCCGCTCCCGGGGCCGTTTCCCAGGCTGGTTTTGCTTCACAAGGGCTGTGGCTACAGCTGGGCTCTGCTGGCTGCCTCGGCACACACACAGCTTGGACGGAGCAGGCCGAGAGCAACTGAGCTATCCCCACTCAGAGGAGGATGTCTCTGAAGGGAGACTTGGGGGGAAGGTGCAGGAGGAGATCCTCGTTCCTGTCCTGCGGATAAACAGACCCGCCAGCCTCTCGTGCTGCCAAACCCGCCTCTTTTGCAACAGCAGCATGAAAATGTGGTAAGTTAGAAGGAAACGTTTGTAATTTTACTTAACAACAACCTGCCTGCCTGGATGCAGCTGGCCTCCTGCTTCTCCAGAGGAGAAGGTGATTTCCCAGCCCCGCAGAAGCAGCCAGCTCGTGGTGCAGCAGCTGGTACCAAGGAGAGGAGGCTTTGAGCAGCAAACAGCACCTGCAGACACTGCAGCACCTTGGGCTCAGGATCAGACTTGCCTGCAGCAGAAGTGTCAGGGCTCTGCAGCACACTGCAGTCCGCACGACCTCTCGGAGGTAGGGATCCTGTCTGTTCACCAGCTCCATCCCGAGCTTGAAAGCTCCTTCAGTAGCTCCCTGATGCCAAGGAAGTTCTCCCTCTGGTTTTGGAAACCTGAACTGATAAGCAGAGAGCAGAGACACAAAAAGTTATTTCTGGCTTCAGCCGCGTTTGTAAATTATGCACCTTTATTTACTATCAGGTATTTCAAAGGGCTGCAATTCTCTGTGAACAAGAAAGTCACGTATAAAGACACCACGGAACTGAGAGATGACAGAAGGCTTCTTTGATACTGTTCCTAAAAATAAAATTCAAAAAAAATATCCCTGACTTCTTAACCTTGGCTAGGATGCAGAGGAAGAGAGGCTGCGACGCGTTTTCTCAGCACATTTCTGACCAGGCCAGTGTAAATACCTGAAGCAGTCTCGTTGGCCTCCTCACCGCCTGCCTCAGCAGAAACACCAGCGGCTCCAGCCACAGCTCAGCCAAGCATCTATGCACACATTCCAGTTCCAGTGTGTTCAATGGGATTTAAACCTTTTTTTGGACTGGAGACAGAACTAAAACGTGGACTCGGAGCGTAACATCCGTGCGAGCACTGTGCCAGCGGGCTCGTGGTCGCTCAGGCGCTGCCAGGCACGCTCGGCTCTCGCCTGCTCCTGCCCAGAGCTTGCTCCTGGGAATCAGAAATCCGAGTTATTGAGGGCTGCCTCCACTGCACGGCCCTACAAACTCCTCCAGGGCATGCTAAGGAACAGGCAGGCTTCCCCCGCTGCTTCCCTCCATGGCAGGCAGCATCTTCAGGACGTGGCACTTGCGTAACGCCACCCTCTCCACCTGCAATCTTCCACCGTTTTGGCAGGGGCCCTGCTCTCCAGAGCGAGGGCATCTGCCTGTCAAGCAAACTGCATATGCTGAGGTGGCTCTCTTCCATCTCTTCCCTCAAAACCTTACCTGCGAGATCTAAAACACTTTGCAGAGTCTCGCTGCTTTCTCTTCTGTACGTTCTGGATTGACATTCTGGGACCAGCTCTGAAAACTGCTGGCCCGGAGCCACGAAGGCAGGCAGTATCTGTTGTGCAGCTTTTTAAGATAACACATTTCTTCCGTTGGTTCCCCAGCCACCAACTGCTTTTCAGTTTGAGAAACAGAAGACCCGCAGCTCTCTCTGGGCTCCAACGACACCACATCCTGCACCATTCCCCACCTGCCATCTTTCTAATCCAGTGCCTGACAGTACATAAAGATCCCCGGAACGATCACCTAATGATCTAACAACGCTCTGAGGTTTTCCTATTCCCATTTTAATGGCAGAAAAAAAAACAACTGGCAGGTTAAAAGCTGCACGCGAGAGCAGAAAGCAAGGCACTGGCAAAGCAAAAATAAAACAAGACCCAAGTGCACTCGTTTATAGTTACAGTCCTGAACCACAGGGTTATGCTTCCTATTTTGCCACATACAAAAGTTTTGGTTTTGCTCATATTCTCCTCTTGCTCCAGAGCATTCACAGCTACAGACAAAGCAGCTAGTGGGAGGCACATTCTCCTGAATCACGAAGCTGCAATGTTATTTTAAGAGAGGGGATACTTCAGCCCAGCTGTAAATTCTATTAAAGCGCATTCACAGCTGCAAATCCTATCAAAGCAGAGAGGCAAAAATTGTCCAAGCACTTTAAATATATTTTTTTTTAAAGCAGAGAAAAAACCTAGCATGAATGTGCCAAGAAGGCTCAAAGCAAACAGCTTTAAAAAGCCTGTTCCTGTCACGATGCAGCACACCTTGTAACAGAAAGCAACGACATCTACAGAAAGCTGCAGCCCACAAGCACCATTCTGGGAGAGAACACAGCGTTAGAGCTGGCGTGCCTCTGCCCCAAAAAGTACTGCTTAAAAGAGCACCTGCACGAACAGAAAAAAAAAAAGAGACACCAAAAGGCAGAAGCGGGTTAAAAACATCTCAGCAGAAAAAGATGCAGCCTTCGTTAAGGACGCGTTTCCCTGCACGCTCCGTGTTTCCACCCAGCTCTTTGCTCTCGGGTACGAATCCCGTTTCGCTCGCTCTGGGAACTGTGCTAAAAAAAGGACACGAACGCGAATTAGACGCTGGGTAAATTATCGCGTGCACGAAAAATCAGAGCTCAGCGAGGCCTGTGCAAATGCAGTGCAGGCCGGTTACCACCCGGTGGCAGCAGGCACTTGCTACAAAAGCATTTCCTCCCTCTGCACACCTCGGCCATGGGTTCCCGGAGAGGTTACGGGGCTCCTCGGCGGAAACCTATTCCTCTGCATCCCAGAAACACCAAGCAGCAGTTTGGGCACCTCTCAGCACTTCTCTCACTTGCTGTCAGGTTCAAGAGATGCTCCAGGTGTATTTAAAGAGCTGTTTTAACCAATATTCAAAAGGGAAAGACTGAATTTCCAGAACCCCTGATTGTTTAGGGCTGTTTTTTTGGGGCCTAAAGCCGCTACAGCCCCGTAGGGCCACTACAGCCTCTCTACTCTCTATTCAGCTGCTGGTGCCTGCAGCCCCAGCACGGCTCACGCTGGGTCCGTGCAAAATAGTGCCAAGAAACGGGCACATTCCTGCCCGCCGGGCCTTTTGTAACAGCTCAGGTGTTTGCGCTGGCTCAGGACGTACCCGGACCTCCCGGCGGGAGCCGACAGCGCCAAGGCCGCGGCTGCCAGGCGTTTGTTTACCTTGGGGCTGAGCACGCCGCCACGAAGCCAGCGTGAGAACGTGGCCGGGTCACTTCCCTGGTTCGGTGCCTGCAGCTTGCTGCCCTACGCGCTGAAATGGTAAAATCCTGCAAAAAATAAAGCCCTGAGATAAAATCCTGAGATAAAGCCCTGCTCAGTGCACGCTCACAGGTCCAACGGCCCCGATCCTCGCCTGATATTTGGCCTGGGAGGGAGAGCGGAGCTGCTCCTCCTGGCTCAGGACACGGCCTGCAGCTGGAGGAGGCTCCAACAGTGGTCGGAGCCCCAAATAACCACTGATTTGACACAAAAACCACCATGGGAGCCCCCAAAACCACCTGTTTGGCACTAAAACCACCGCCGTGCCCGTGATGGGGTCACCACACGGCCCGGCCAGCGCCCTGAGGCACCCTCGGGGGCACAGCCTCACGGCCCTCCCCCGCCTGTTTCACTGACAAGGCCTCTTGAGAGATTTAGGAATTCAGCCTAAACGGTAAAATCATCCTAAAAACGGAGCAAAACTCGTGGTTTTTGGCCCAAATCACGACCAAACGCCTCGCTGAGGGCTCCCAGGACACGAAGGCGAGCTGGTGCCCGGCCCCACAGCCCCTTTCACCCGGCTGGGCGCTCGGGAGGCCCCTTGGGGCCGGCGCCGTCCCCTCAGAACCGAGCCCGGAGCCCCCCGGAGCCCCCCCCCGAGCCCCCGGCCCCGCTCCCGGAGCCCACCCCCTGTGAGGGGGGGGGGGCGGGGGCGGCTCCGTCCCCTCAGGGGGCAGCGCGGGGGGCGTGGCCCCACGCGAAGGGGGCGTGGCCAACCCCGAGCGAGGCCCCGCCCCCTCCTCCCCTCCCCGCCCGGCCCCGCCCCCACCTGAGCGCTCAGCGCGCGGCTCCCGCGCCGGCTCCATCCCGCCGCCACCGCCCCCCCCCCCCTCCCGCGACACGAACGCACGCGCGCACTTCCGGCCACGCCCCCCATCCGGCGCGGCGCGCGTCACGTGGCGCTGAGGGGGGGGGGTGAAGAAGGGAAGGGAAGGGAGGGGCGGCGCCATCTTTGATAAGGGCGGGGGAGGCGGCTGAGGCGAGCCCCGCGGGGGCAGCCTGGCAGCCGAGGCCTCACTGCGGGCCTCAGGGCCTTGGTGTGGAAAAAAAATCAAAAATTGAAAATAAAAAAGTCAAAAAAATAAATAAAACACACACGTGGCTCCCTCACTGTGTCCCCTCAGGCAGCAGAGTCCCACAGCCCCAGCCCCAGCAGGGAGAGCCCTGAGGGTGTCCCCCCCCCCACCATGCCCACCTCACCTCCTCCTCCTCCTCCTCCTCCTCCTCTTCATCCTCCGGGGCTAGGGCAGAGTGCACGGCCTGTACAGGTCTTGCCAAAACGCATTAGGCAACAGCACGTAACAATAGGCTGGGAATCAGCACGTGTTATTACACTAATTACTTACTATTAGGAAGGGGGGGGGCAGGTTTCCCTCAAGACCTCATCCTCGTGGTGATGGAGGCTTCAAATTTGGCTTTCGCCAAAGCCAGCTGGAGCTGGGGGACCGGTGGCTCCGGCTGCCATGTGTGGCGTGGGCCCAGCTTCGTCTGCTGAGGGCTGAGGTCGCTGCCAGAGTCCCGGGGAAGAGCCCCCAGTGCTGTGATCTGGGGCCGGGACTTGGGAAGAACTCAAGTTTTCTCCCTTGATGGTAAAAAAAGGAAAACGGCGGAGCTGTCTGGGTCAAAGAAAGGTGTTTTGAGGAGCGCCTGCGGAAATGGGAAGCTTGGGGTACAAATCAGATCAGAGCGTGGGATTTGCATTCTGTGCAGCCAAGTCGGGGTTTAGGTCAGGTGTGGCTCTGCAAACAGTCCCTAATTACAAACTGGGAACACCGCTTGTTCTCATTTTACTAATCTCTCATCCGTGCTTTTTTTCTTTCAACCATTTTTGAAGTGCAGGAGGTACACGTGTCTGCACACACAAGCACTGGGGGAGCGGAGTTACTCCCCTCAGATCAACTGGTTGTGTAAATACTGGCAAAATTGTTAGTTGGTATCACCACATGCAACTTCTTTCTCCCAAATGTATCATTCACTTATGATTAAATTCACCATAACACGAACACAGAAGCTGTACAAAAGCTGTTAACATTACCTTCTTCAGCCCTGCTGCTGAGGTCCTTTCTGTTTTAAAAAAAATGAACAAGTAAGGTTTTTACATTAATCGGATTAAACAAAGCTCCTGGAATACAGAATGAAATTATCAGAGAAGGCGGCTTTAAACCAACAACACTGTCACAGACCAGCAAAGTCCGGCAGAATTCTTATCTCACCACTTGTTTTTTCCATTCAGTACTTTTTAAAGCCAGAGAAGCCCAGCACCATTCCTTTCCTCTGAAGAAATGCATTTTAAGGACTCTCCTTTTTCCCCAGACAGGCAAGAGGAGGAAGAGTTCCTGCAACTCCTCCTGATAAACAAACATCTCGGAATAGAGTCTGCTTCATTCTGCCACAATTACTCCCATAAATCTCAAGTTTAAGGAATACAGCTGAGGGCTCTCAGAACTGCAAGCTTCATAGAGGAGGAGTAGGGAGGTAAAATGAGGCGATCTTTTGAACAAAAATGATGTTTGCCTACAGAAAAACCTCTCCTTTAACTCTTTTGCTTAAATGAGCTCAGTGCAGTTCTAGATAGCCCGCTACTATTATCATTTGAGGATAAAGCTTCAGGCTAAATAAAATATCCGTTTACTAACCCGTGAAAACGTGCAGATTTGCACATGAAGAGCCTGAACTCTGGCTGTTTGCTGAAGGGCACCAGAACTCTGTCCACTGGAAAACCCCGTCCTTTGAAGGAAGTCAGAGTTCCAAGAAAATGTGAAAAATGCGAGGGGAATGACAATTTTCCATCTCAGAGCACTGACGGGGAGCTGCCTCCCTTCTGAGCAACATCCTTTTTCACCCTGAGAACTCAACATTCACCCTGCACTACCAGAGCCTCACCTCACACTGCAAATTCCCTCTCCTGGAGCACAAGCCAAAGAGAGAACGGAAAGCCAGAGAACGGGAAGCCAGACCACACAGCATCTGGGTCTCTAGAGCAGGACGGGACTCTCATCCTCACACGCTGCCAAACAAGCTGCAGGCCTGGGTAGGACCTCTGAGGCCTCAGCGCCACGTGGTAAGGAAGAGCTGGCCTGCAGCGCCGTGTCTACAAGACCTGACAGCGCTGAAGTCACCTCCCCTTTCTGCTAATAAAAAAAACCCTTACAAACATCTTACCAAGATTTAATGTACATTTATTCTTAACACGTGGAACATATAGTATAAAGATTTCATACTGAATAAATGATATTCATTAAGCCAAAAAAGGAAAAAAGGGAGGAATTTACATCAAGTTTTTAGCTACATCGTCTGAAATACAAATATGCAGAATTCATCACTGAAAAATCTCAATTGTGTTTCTTCATCAGGAACTTCAACTGAACCTAGAACTTTTTCACACCTCGATTAGAAAGAAAACAAAAACAGGAAAAATAAACTATAAGTTGATTGGCTGCTGAGACAGCAATGACTTTATACACAGAGACCTGTACAGCATCCTCCAGGGAGGGATGTCTGGCAAGAGATTAAATAATTGTGTCTCGCTTTTGCAGGTCATCAACTCGTTAACTCGTCATACTATAAAGGGGTAGGGAGAGGGGGACAAAACTGCAAGGAATCTTAGGGTATGTGCAATGTACAACGTCATATATATATACACACGTGGCAGCATTCAGGCTGCAGCTAAAGGTTAAAACCAGTTCTAAGAGGTGATCTCAGGGTTATTCATACAATCAAGGAGGAAGAGAGAAAGAGGTCAGGGTGTTGTAGGTTCACACATGATACTTTGGGGGAAAAGCCTTTTTTCTCCTCAACATTAACTAAAAACATTTTTAAAAACTACAGCTTGCTGCTGATCCAGCGTTTTTTTTTCCATGTGAGACATTATTACAGTATGTTTACAGTTTAAGGTGTACAGTACATGAAGTTCTACACGCTACTGCACAGGCCTCCCTTGGACAAGGTCTGTTCACAACTGGTAACTTCTTGGTTCCTGCAAGATTGTGAATGTACAACAATAAACCACACAGAGTTCAGCAGTCACTTTTGTCCTTCAGAGTTTACCATTAAAAACAGTTATGAAAGTGGTGCCTGTCAATGTGATAACACGGCAAGTCGTTTTTCCCCAAACTCACTGTAAACGACAGTAACTTTGGTTAAAATAAAAAAAAAGTCTTCTATGTAGACAGAACTTTGTCTCCTTTAATAAGGGATTCAGGACAAATTTGAAGGGCTGGGGAAGGGGAGAGGGACCGGGGACATCTTTCCCCAAGGGAGAAGCAGGACAGCGCAGGGCAGACAGTGGATTCTGAGGTGGTTTTGCATAAATAAAGGGCAACAGTCAGTTTCTAAGTTCTCCACTCACGCACACGCACACAGGGTCTCGGATCCCACAGCTGTCATGACTGGCCAATTAAAAACAGTACATCACAAATAACTTGTGAAACCAAAGAGTTCATCAAAGGCGACACGGAGATGTCCAACAGCCGCGACTCGTATAACGTGAACTCCGAGTGGTTCTCGTCCACCTTGGCCAGGGCGAGCAGCGCCCGAGCAGCTCGGCGCATCATGTCCACGCTCGTCGACTCAAAGGGTGGGTTCTGCATGTGCATCAAGCCGGCCTGGCTCTGCTGGAACTGCGTGGCGGCCAGGCTGTCCTCCAAGAAGCCCAGCAAGTTGCCAATGCTGCCCTTCTGCACAGCAATCGCTCTTGCTGCCAGGCTGTCCCCCTGTGCCAAGTTGGCCAGTAGTACCACAGCCATCTCTCGACACACCGGGTTCTTTCTGTCACTAAGGAAACGCACCATGGTGCTGTACAGCTTCTCCAAGCGACTGAAGGGGGGAGTTGCAAGAATCAAATCCACATTGTTGTCCTGGATGCTGAGTTTGCTGAGTGTTTCCAAAACCAGTCTCTGAGGGGAGAGGACAGCATTTGGCCCCAGCGTTGGAAAGGGATCCTGGGCCTCTGCTGACGGACAGACCGCCCAGTGGAGGAGTCCATCCAGGATAGGCAAACAGATGCTTTCTGGGTAAGGGGAGAGGTCCAGCTGGCCAGAAATGTTGGCCAACGTGACCAGTGTGTTTTCACGCAGCATCTCCAAGCAGTCCCACCACCACTCCACCTTGTTGCAGCTCACCCCTTGGTCCTGCTCCTCCTCTTTCTCGTAGGTCAGGGGTGCCTGCTTGCGCTCTGGATGCTTGTGGTGTAGGAGAATCAGTTTCCCTAGAATCAGCAGCAGCCCGGGGTGTTTAGACATTTCAAAGTCATTGCCTGGCACAAACGATAAACTCCTGATGATATTAGAGACACAGATGCAGCGCTTCGCCAGAGAGTCCTGCCAGTCTAGGAGGGTGCAGAGAGGTGTCTCGTCTTTACTGTGAGGTTCGTCCTCCAGAATTTTTATATTTCTGTGGCTCTGAGCTGGACTAATGCCAAATGGAAACTTGCTGCTTTCCTTCGCAGTTTCTGAAGCTTTGACCTCTTCCTCCTCCCCTGACAGGGAGCCCGGACGTGCCGAAAGCATGTCGTCCATGGTGGCAGTTATCCTCTTCTCCGAGGAGCTGTCAGAAGGAAGGGTCTCTCCTTCCCTAGTGCTCGGATTGCTCTCAGCTGCTGAACGTTTCCTCAAGACAGAGTTGCAGGAAGCTCGTTTGTGAG